AATTAGTTTTAAAAAACTTCAACAAATAGGCACCTTATGCTTTCTGTGCAGTTGCTCTGTTATGTGAATTCAACTATGTTTAAACTAAAGTAGTAGATCAACGATAATATTCAATGACGGTAGCGCCTTATCATGATAATGTTTGATTTGAAAATATGGACTACATAGATGTAATCCATTCAATGAAATATAAAGCTTTTAATTGTTTTTGATCCTAAAGTCATTGTTTCTCATTCTCGTAAAGTTTCAAAATAATACAATGTAGAGGGATAATTCGCCTTGGATTTCATTTATTCAGTAAGCTTATATTAAATTATAGAGATAAAAAGCCGAGAATTTTATTTTTTGGGAATAGTTCTCACCGGGTTCTCCGGTTAACATATGTTAAGTCACAATTAATAAATGGTTTCATTTAATCAGTATATCCATAAATTAAAAAAAACATATCTCGTAAGAATACGTAATCAATGGAGTTCAACTCTGTCGAGTGTAAGCAGTTACTACCAAAGACATTGGGTTGTACAAAAGCCTTAGATTAATCAGAGTTAAACATTAACACCGTTGGATTCTGGCAACTCAGTGGTCCACAGCTTAAACGCTCGCAGGTGAGACCGAAGGCCTTGGGTTCGAATCTTGAGAGCAGCAGGAGTTGTTGATGTGCACTGTTGAGGAGTCCCATACCAGGATAAAATGGCCGTCCAACGCTTCCACGTTTCTAATTGCGGTCTAAGAAAGATTCTTTCATGATTTCGATTTGTAAAAATATATCCATCAACAAACTTCAGAGATCAGTTTATAAATTAAAACAGTTACATATATTCAACAATTTAAATATACTGTTTCTGTTGGGATATATATATTATTTTCATGTACAATACATTCTTTCAAAAGTTGGTTGATTGCTTGATAAGCATGTGAATGAATTTAATCATACTTTAATTTACTCATCATCGAACTATTTGACTCAATCGATGCACTTATCTCTTAGTTATATTTATCATTTTGTTGTTGTCAACAAATGAACTACTCGTTCTAAAAACCAATAAAAAAACTTGGAATTCAAAAATTACTAAATAAAAATTTCTGATGAATCGATCTCTTTGGTTCTTGAATGTAATATCAAGATGATTAAGTTATCAGTCATTTATTTACTTTGCCTATTTCCATAGTCATGTTCATCTATAATTGGTGGAAATATCAGATTTCGAAAATTCAGATCATCATAGAAAAAATGTTTTTACTTATTTACAATAAACAAAATTTCATACTGTGAAACTGGAATATCAGAAAATTATATTAAAGAATCCCATTGTGAAAATTAGAACAACACATGTAGGCGAACAATATTGTTTTCGATCAGATCGTCATCAGTCTGACTTTCTTTGACGCCACACTAAGCAGACGGAGTGATGACTCGTCAAGTGGAAATTCAGACAGAAGAAGTCCCGCTGCTTGCCAATAACACTCACTTTTATAGAGAAATTTGGTTAGATGTCTCACTAGCAGAGCAAAAATGATCTGTTCAGTGGACACTTTAAGTCAGGAGTTGGAATTTATCAACAGCTCACTGACCGAGATCGGCTACCCCAGCGCCGTCACAAATAAGTATATGTTTGATGTAAAAAAGAAGTCAGTAACTTTGACCGCTCAAAAGAAATCTTTATTTATTAAACTACCATTCAACGGATTTTTGGTCTGCGATACTCTACAGGAGAGATTGACGAAAGTAATTAGTAGAACATTCAACGCAGCCAAACTTGCGTTGACCTACTCAAATCGACCAGCGATGTCACCCAAAAGAAAGATAAGTTACCTAAGTTGGCCTCCTCTGTGTGCATTTACAAATTCAGCTGCTCATGTGGAGATACCTGTATAGGGCGTACTACCAGGCAACTTAACCAACGAATGAGTGAACATCTCCCAACATGGTTTAAGAAGGGTCACTCAAAAATAATACGCAGTTCGATCTTAGCACACCTGGTTGATAGTGGTCATATTGTAGATAAGTCTAGATCTTTTCGGGTGATCTATCGTATACCTCAATTATTTCCAAACGGAGTTCGATCCCATCTCCTACACATAGCAGAAGCCATAGGAATTCGTACATTCAACCCCAATTTATGTGTTCAGAATAAATGAGCGACACCCCTATCCCTTCCGTGGCCGGATATGACTTAAGCAAAGAAAATGTTTGAATCTTTTTTGCTATTATTAGTATTATTTTCATATCTTTTATTTGATGGTAATTTTCTGCCTCTGCGCTTATATTCTTCACTATCTAACTATTTAGATACTTCTTATAATTTAGTGGTTTAATGTTTTGTAATGATTATTTTAAGTCTATTTTATCCAAGTTTGACCCAATATTGATAAAACTTTTGTTATCGTATTTTATTTTTCCTACTACTATCATCAGTACACCTGTCTTCCTACTATCAGCTTGTATTTTTACCTATTATGTGAAGTGACGTAATCTATTTCATTTCATTGTGATTATTGACTCAAATTGCCTTTATTGGTGTAACATTTTCATATAAATATTCATGTATATTAAAGTCTGATGACAATCTAATCGAAAACAATATTGTTCGCTTATTTGTGTTGTTCTAATTATCAGAAGATAACAGTTGACAAACTGTTAGTGAATCTGAACAGATCCCTACTTTAGTCAAACTTATTGATGTAAAATGCTTATTAGTATAGATTTCTGATTCATCAATCGATTAGTTAAAAGCAAGTCACAAGTTAGATAAATTAATAACTGATTTTCAGTAGGACAATATAATCAGGAACCAATCGTTCTGTTTCACTTAAAACATAAGATTAAATTCTGTGAATTATTTTAAAAATATAAATTTGAATGACAACAATGTACTTTTTCGCCATTCATTTGTCTGCTGAGTTTTCACCCAAGTATAGATTTTATTTTGACTGGAATAAGTTTATCATTAACTTGAAGAGAAAGAATAACCTGGTTAATTAAAATCGTTATTTTTAATTCATATACAGTTGCGCAGATTGTTGAGCTTCATTCAAATCATGAACCGATCAACATTGATCACCTTGGGAAAGATGGAACCACTGGATGACCGTTTCGTCCTTGTATGCAAATTATCAGTATCAATAGTGTGCTTCCACTATCCCTACGTGCACATGGTAATCAAACTACAGACATTTGGTCTCGCGTGCAAACGTTTAACCCGTTAATCACTGAATCGGTACCCGACAATGTTAACGTCTAACCATTTCCCAATATCTCTGACTAGTTACTGCCTTACACGCAACGTGGTTAAACTCCACTTGTCACAGTTTCTATTCATAAATACGAGAATTCCCTCATGAAGATGATCATAGGAGTGCTTGATATGATTGTGGATCGGCTGCTGATTACAATAGAATATTGTTGAATTTTTTGATTCTTGATGCTGAAAATGTTTCACTTATCACGTTCATAAGTTGACCATCAAACAAATTAAAGTGACTTAGTGACTAGTACATCGCGTTTCAAAAAATGATTGTATCCAATGTGATAAGCGGTCAAACATGAATCAAACCTTCCAGTTGTATCATGGATCTGAACTTCTGTAATAAAATCAATTGCAATATTAACTCAGTTCGTTGAAATTATCACAGTGTTAAACTTTTATAATATCAGATACAAGATGATTTGCTTTTTAATTTGATTAACAATCAAAAAACTATTGAATTTTATCTAGTCATACAATTTTAATCTTTCAGATTATTAGCTTGTCATTAGTACATTATAATAGAGATATTACGTATAGTAATCTTGTGTTTTCCAATGCCACATAGTAAATAATATTTGAATGAACTCATCTTCTCATGAATAATTTCAACTGAATTTCGAATCGAAAACATTTCGAATGAATAGTTATGAATTCATGATTAGAAAATAATATTTTCCCTAAATTACTTCATACTTAACTCGAAATTGAAAAATTACACTAACATTAATTACGGATCTAATTAAATTGGCCTCATTTTTAAATCATCTGTAATGTAATTATTGTATTTATTATTGAAGATTTTGTCAGTATATATATATATATATATATATATATATATATATATATATATGTTTGTGTAGTTATACATCGATATATATATATATATATATACATATATACATATATAAACGTTCTAGTACAAGAACTATTTAAGTTGCTATGCGACACATTTGTCAACTTTTGTTAATGGTTATAACTTACCACGATGGAATATTATTGAAAGAACCCCCATTATAAGTATTTATTTATTTTCTTTTGATTAACCATTTAACTTTTTGAAAAAAAAACAAAATTTCTCTTTCCCCCAATCAAAATGCTATATTTGAGTAGATCGAAATATTCATGAAACATATAAGTAGAGAATGTACATGTAGGGTTGGTTTTGTTTTCATAGGATTCTGAAATGGAAGATATATATATATATATATATATAACATTAAGGCGGTACCTTGTTCCGATTATTTCAGTCATTCTAGCTTACAATATTTTGAATCCTGAAATAAATACGAAAAATAGTAGTATCACATGTTTATAATATTTTATTTGAATAAAATTACTCATGATTACGATAATTAAAATATGGAATTACAGTGAATTAAACTAATCAAAATACTAATTATTCCACATTATCTATACAAATATTCATGATAAAAAAATTATGTGAAATTATCAGGTTCCTACTACTCATTACTTGAAAGACCTATTAATTTAAGTAATATACGATCACAGTATGCAATTAAATTCTGGAGTATATATTTATATATATACTTTTTTTCATAGAGAGATTAATTCAGATTATTACTTCTTGTTTGGTGTATTTTATAATGTTGAATGATTCAAAAAAATTCTAGAATTTCAGTCAGTTCAAGTCGAAAAGATAACTTGCATAACGACAATAACTATTACAAAGGATAAAAAATTTACTAAAATCACTCTCTATACACCAATAGCTAAAACAACTATCCTATGAAAATGGTAGATAAACGAAAACGAAAAACTACACCAACACAATTATCTCATCAGTCTGTCAGTGTTACACCAGAATCTATTTATTATTCACCTAATAAAATATTACCTATAATGCAAACTACATATTTTTATCAAGACAACGATATCAACAATCAGTCGAATGGAATACGTTTAGCAATACACTCAAATTTCAATAGAAGTTTAGAAACACTTTTAGAAGAATTCACTGACCCAATTTCGAATATATCTTGTGATTCACCAATGTTGTTGTATACACCTCAAATTACAAACAAGTTTAAATCAATGAATGATTTACAACAGAATACTGATGATTACATCTGTCCAGACTATACATTGAAATCAAGAAATATGTTATTAAATCATAGAACAAGTAATAAGATCGATAGAAATATTGACTACAAACCATTTGTTGCATCAACTTCCTCATCCTATAATAATAAATTAAAAATTTATACTTATCCATCAAATAGTTCAAATCTGATCTTGAATAATAATAATTTAAAAAGTAAATTGAATAAACCAACAAACCGTATTCTTTTACCACCAATTGATACAATTATTTTGGATTCAGATAAAAATTCTGTTTGGAGAGAATTAAAACAAGTCAAACGTATTTATGTTCGTTTGAATGGACAATCGTATGGATCCAAACCAGTATTGATCAGGCGGAAGTATATTAGAACATTTGAACACGTACTTCAAGAATTAAGTGAACTATTTCGAATTCCCATTCACAAAGTATACACATTAGATGGAGAATTAGTAAGCACTAGTCTTTTATTTTATTCTTATAGTTATTGATTCAGAAGTGTTCTTACTGTGCCACCATTGACAAATTTAGAAAGTTTGGTAATTATATTTAAAACATTTCTGAAATAATTAATACATGCTAAAATACTCAGTTGCTTGAGTTTAACTCAGATAATTATTAAAAGTAAGCTGAAATAATTTTAAAATCATTCGTCTGTAAGCGCTTTGATTGAATAGAAAATCAGTTTTTGTATTTTTTTACTAATGAATTATTTCGATCAACAAATTGTGTGAAATGTCTATTAATCATTTGTTCTGTTTGTTTAAAATAAATTTCACATCTTTTAACGTTGACTACAAGGACGTAATCATGAGTAACGGGCATAATTTCACTTTTTCTTCAATCTTTAATTGGCTACTACTCGCTAATCTCTAATTAGAATTCATTAATAATGACGTGTAAATACAAAATAAAGTTAATTTTATAAATACACCAGTAAATATCTATAGATTGTAATTTCATGTGATTAACAAAGTTACATTTTACAATATGATGATGTTTAATTCACTAATGAAAGCGTAACACCAACATAAACTTCTACATATTCTCGAATTTAAATTCACAATCAAAGACTTACTTAATAATTTGACATCAAGCTTAATATATGAATATTTTGTCTTAACATAAATAGTTTATTGATAAACTGTTTTTTTTTTGTTGTTAACTTGACAAAATTATTCATTCGTCCTATTTTCATACCATGATAAATTTATCAATAAAGCATGAGCCTATTAATTTACAATGAACTGTGTCAACTATGTCAGTGTGAACTCAAAATATTAGATTCACAATGTCGGTTAATGTAATCCAAGTAATATTGTTGAATTTTTCTACTTTAAAGATTAGATGTATTATGGTAATTCATGTTTGATAAATAGATTTCATGGTATAATTTGATGTTTAATTATGGAAAGCATTGCAGTGCATAAAATCTCCCTTACTCTAAATTCTTCATAATAAATTGTCAGATATGAATGACAAAACGAAACTAATTAAATCATCTAAAAAAATTTTAATTTAAAAATTTCTTCTTTGAAGTTTGAACAGGATTTAAGTAATTGATCATTAGTTCATTTCAAGTATTGCCTTACCATGACTGAACTGATGTGAGTAGAAATTAAGAAATGAAGTAACAAAAAAGCAACACAATTAAATTGAATAATCTTTTGACCCACTGGCAAAATCATAAATTATTAAAAGTGCCTTTTCTGTTGTTACACAATGAAGTCAACTGAACACAAAATAGGTGGTATAGACTATTGAACGATTTAACTTCATGTATATTTCAATAAAACAGTATTTATAGTACAATATATTTTATTTTAATTCCCCTTTTCATGTGATTCATTCTGTTAGTTTATTTATCAGTTTCTAGTATTTTATATGCACGTAGCACCTCTAAATAAAGCATAGACAATTTTATTTGGAATTTACAGTCTAGAAAGAATATCATCTAATGTTGAGAAATTACATCACTGTTTTAGGCGTGTTCAGAAAATGTCATTTAGTAAATTTATCATATCACAAATAAACTATGACAGTCTATTTTTGTATTCAATAATACGTCATCTATACAATATCACATAAACAATTACAGATCTTATAAAAATAAACAAAATTATGCAACAGAAAGAAATGACATAAAAGTAATAATGTGTAATTAATCATATAAAGTAAATAATATATTTTTTCTACAGATAAATTTAAGCAATCTTTTCTTTTTTACTAGCCATGTAAAATTAAGTAATGCAAGAAAATATTTACTTTCTACTACGATGAGGGTATTTATCTACGAAGTTAAACAGTGTACTAATATTTGAATAGAGAAATAAGAAGACATTTTGTGAGATAGTACCATTTCGTGCTTTCTCGTCAGTCACATACAATACTAATATACCTAAGTTAAGATTATCGTGGAAAACATCAGTCTCTGTTATAATTTTCATTTTGAAATGCACTTTCACCTTTCTAACTAAACAACTTCGTTTAATCCTCAATTTACTAATTTCACTTACACTCCCTATGGCAACGAATTTCACTTCAAATTAGGACAATTATTGTCAGTTTTGTACAAATTCGTAAAGCACTCACATGCACACGCACATTTTGATAACCATAAATAGAATCAAGTACAAAATATTCACAATAAATTTCAGGATTTCAGATCACAAGTTCACATGATTAGATAAAAAGGTCCTCTCTACTCCACTAATTTTCACGGTAGATGGATGAATAATTATTTTTGAAACATTTACACGTGAATAATCGCATAAAAAATCTACTGTGTAACCCAATAATTCATTACTCAAATATCATTATATGTTCACATATGCTTCAATAGAATATTCCCAGTATAAACTATTTTAATTAACTTTTAAAAAATTACAGTTCCGTTTCAAAGTTTTCTCATGAACTAAATATTTTACTAAACAAAAAAAAACTCAAATCATTTAGGAGTAAACAATAAAACAAAGTTATAATTAGGACATCATACATAAGAAAACAAATCATTCACATTGTACTTTATCTCATTCATTAAATTCTGCCTTAAACATATTTATTGCTTAACATTATTAGAATTTTGATTTAAGTAGGAAAGGTGTTATATCTAGTAGATATAGTTTGCACGCATCATATGTTGTTGTATGAAGAAGTGGTTAGACAAATGAAAATCTTTCATCAACTCATCTTATACACTACTAATTAATTATTCAGGCTTCTTCACAGGTTTTCTGTGAGATTGAAGATTTAGGAAGTAAACTGATTGAAAAAGTTCTGTTTGCACTTTAGCTCATTTTTTGTTATCTACTGAAAATCTACTAACTGGAAATGACTAAACTATCGAATAATCTATTCAACATTGTTGAAATCTACAAGTATTTAGTCGACAAACTGTTATTTCTAATTTGTAATGGCTATAATGGTTAGTATTTATTTTCCTGAATGGAATTCTCCGCTTTTGTTTCTTACTAAGCTATACCCAAAAACATAAATATAGACAGTTCAAATATTTATTTATTTATTTTACTAACGTCTTAGGCTGTAGACCTTCTAAAACTACTGCGGGTCCTTAGCATGGATAATGAAGGAACGTTGGACATGAGGTTGGTGGCCCCATCCCACGGAAAACTAACTAATTAGAAAAACGCTAACATGAAAAAATAATTCAAACCTTTTAAACTCTTACCTGGTAGTTAGGTCTTCATCAAGTAACGACGCCTCATGATGAAAGCCGAGCTTTTTTGAAAGTCACGAGGTGAGGGCCCTTCACTTAACCAGAACAACCATTAATATAGGTACACGGAAAGTTCGTATGATGTGCGATACCGTAAGAACCATTCAGTTTGCTGAAGAAATGAAAGCACACAAGATAGTGATGTCTGGAAAAAGTGAAACACATCGAACGAAAGATGAGAGAAAAATTACTTTAGCAGAAATGCCTCACATACACAACTAGTTGAAATAGTATTGTCTAAACAAGTACAAAAAGCACTGATAGGATGGGAACCTCGTGGAACCAGGATCATCAAAGTATCCTTCAAAACAAAGAAAGAAGGCATTACAATGAACGTCATCCACTGCTATGCGCCTACCTAGGAAAACAATGAGGACGTTAAAGATTAATTCTATCAGAGGTTGCATTCACAAGTCGAAAAACGCTCAACAAAGAATATCATCATTCTGATAGGAGACCTAAACGCCAAGATTAGAATGGACAACAGTGGATACGAAGATTTTAATGAGACGACATGAACTAGAAGAAAGGAAGGAAAATGATGAGAGATTTGAAAACTTAAATGCTTTCAACATACTGGTCATAGATGGCACAATATTTCCACAGAAATGCATAAGCAAAAAGACATCGGTTTCACCGGATCACACCACGCAGAACGAAACCAACTATATGTGCATCAGTCAAAAATTCAGAAGGAAGATGCAGAATATAAGAACCAAGAGGGAAGACGACACATCTTGGTGGTAGCCAAAGTGAAACTGAAATTAAAGAAGCGCTGGAAAACTGGATAAACAATATCACAAAAATTTAATGAAGCCTTTCTTTGGGATACTGACAAGATAGCCCTCAGAAGTAGGTTCCAAGCCTCCTGCAGTCTACGGAATGAAGAGGAAACTACCAATGAAAACCACTAGAAAGGGATGAATGAAGCAGTAACTTCAAAATGTCATGAGGTCCTAGGCCAAAATTAGCACCATTACAAAGAATGAATCTCTGGGAATACCCTGGATAAGATTCAAGAAAGGAGGAACAAAGAGACTCACATGCAAATGATAGAGAGCATCAGAGCCGATAAGCAGATATATGTGGAAGATCCAGCAATTATAGCAGAAAAAGCTGCGAATCAACAAACAAACTTGCTTGAGAATACCGTAAACAAGAACTACCAGTCAAGAACAAGGGAGGTAAGGAAATCGCCAACAGTCAAGGACAGAGAAACATGTGAGTAAATAAATCTTGAACAGACAAGTCTCATTGAATCTACCCTTCATCAAAATTGCACATAAAGAGCTCTTAATTGGTTTTCACCCACCAACATTTGAAGAAATCAATATGGCCATCAGATAAATCAAGAGCTGCAAGGCAGCATGACTAGATAGCATTCCAGCAGAGGCACTGAAATCAAACGTGACAGTAACTGCAAAGATACTTCATATTTTCTTCAGCAAGATTTGGGGGGAATAACAAGTTCCAACAGACTAGAAGGAAAGATACTTTACTCTGCTATCAATACCACGAAAATTCTTCAACACAATGCTATTAAACAGAATAAGAGATTCAGTAGACAGCCAAATTCGAGATCAACAGGCTGAATTCCATAACGGTCGATCCCGTAACGACTAAATCTCGAAACTGCGGATGATTGGGTAACAATCGTTTGAATGGAATTCAAGACTACATAACAACTTCGTTGACTATGAGAAAACATTAGACAGA